GAATAAGGTATTGGTATTTTGAGAAAAGGTTTGTCAGAACTTCTACCATCAAACCTGTTTACTACAATTCAATTCTTATAAAATTTTAATTATACCACCCGCTTGAAAAGCGGGAGGGTATCGTAATCAGTATGCCCGTCCGTCTCTCTGCAGATGTCTGTTACGCTTTGGTGTGACCAGTTTCATCCGCAACTCCTTCTATGCCACTGAATGAAATTTGATGATACCTTCACAGAATCATAATGCATATGTGCATCTCTTGTTTTACTTTTGATTGGACCCATATTTTGGGTTTTCCAGAGAGAAACACTGGACTGACATTTTTTTCTATAGTAGTGAAGGGTATACATCTCTTATCCGTAACTCCTCCTACACCATTTGAAAAAAATTAGTGATACTTTCCAGATTCTTTTTTTTTACATGATGCCATTGTGGACCTCCTATGTTACCTTTTGATATGCATGACACTTATTTTGAGTCTCCAAGAGCAACACAGGGGACTTTGTCATTATAATCATATGAAACGCAGGGGTATGAGTCCGTGAGCTTATACAATGTAGTAGCTTCTAGTGTCAATGGAGATTATACAATATTTTGTATGTATAAAATTGTTTACGAAAAAACAAACAAACAAAACAAAAACAAACGATTTTTTGGTGGAAGGATACCAGTATTGAAAATGAAACTAAAATATTTATACATTTTATAATGGCAATATCTATGTTTGGTGTGGGAAACCAAAAATATATGTCTGGTCAACAAGTAAAATAAAAGGTGCACAATGGTAATATAATAAAGATTCTCTGGGAGTCATCAAATTTCATTCAGTGGTATTAGAGGAGTAGCGAATAAGAGATGGGTACCCCAAAGCATAACAGACGACGGACAGACATACCGATTACTATATACCCTCATCTTATCAATCGGTTACATTTAAAATATGAACAATCTGAATGCATTTTAAGGTAGTAAGATTTTCGTTTTTTATACTTTCCGGCTGAAAATTAAATTATAAGGAATGAATTTAAATTTTACACCTACCCAAATTAACTGATATTACCTGGGTTGAAACATTTTACGTTTTTTATAAACTGCTTTGCCTATCAATCAACTCGACGTTACGTTTTTTAAAAAAAATGTTGTTACGAGAGAGAGAGAGAGAGATGTAAACATGTATCAGGTTGTCATGTCGCAGTTATGATCAGGCTGTCCGAAGGCTTAAGGAGGATCTCTACACCTATAAAGAATAACTGATTTTTGTTGCATGTATTTTTTTTTAGTAATAGGCTCCATATCCGATAAAATAAGGTTCCAAAGTATTTCAATTTATTTTTTAGAAATATTTGAAATATTTCAATTATTTTGTTGAAACCCCTTCTATCTATATTTTTAAAAGCCCAGTGCTTTAAATTTCTCTTTCAAGTTTAATGTTATAAAATATTGAAATATTAACAAACAGTTAAAATAAAATCAACATAAATTTTATTTAAATTTACAAAAATAGCTATAGACAAACGAAAAACTAGAACAGCATTTTCTTGAGAATAGCTGGTTGGATCTTCTCCAATATCTGAAAAGATATATAATATCAAGGGGTAAAAACAATGAAAAAAGAAATTGAACAAAATGGATAAACTGTCAAAAATTTCAAACATCACAATAATTCAGGTGTGAGAGATCCGCTTCAGGAGTGGACTAAAATATCTTGATACTGTTTTTTTTTTATATAAACTTCAAATAAAATCTGCTATAACTTGCACAAGTATTGAAAAAAACATGTCAAGCAAGAGTATTGAAAGAAGTTCGTATTGTACATTTATTGTTTTTCAAATGAGTTTAGGCGAAAACCATCACGTTTCCAGTCAATGACAAAGACAGTCATGTATTTAGTGAATTCATGGTATTGAGAAAGGTAGATTTACTTACCGTTTTTATCCAACTTCCATGTGTTATCCAGTGCTAGATATAACAAAATATGTAAACATGGTATATGGTCAAAAGCGGGTAAAAGAAATTCCTATAACCAAATTCTAAAACCTGCACGTTTCCCATACAAATAGCGGATAATTTATGTTGATCAAACGTTTTGGTCATGCAGAATTCCAGTTACTGTCCAAACATCTTGGTGATTTCATGAAGAGTTTAAATTTCACAGGGTACATGTATAACCATTCATTCGGTATCATCTAGTCAAAGGAAAGATATTATATATGTCTTATCTTATCAAATTTCCATTTATGGGTGATATATTTTGCTGGAAAGCATATACATGTATGTTAATTGAAGAAAAAAGAAATTTCTGAGTGTATGGCGTTTTGACACATAATGATGAATTAGCTTATGGACAAGCCATTTTTTATAACATTTTTTCTCGCCTAAAAATCTTATTCTAATAAGTTTGTTAATATATCATAAAATAATTAAATAAGAAGAAATTGGATAAATTGACAAACAATTCATTTTAAAGAAAGGTTACGTATTGGTCAATACACTGTATTAATTGAGATAGTACAATGTACATTCCATCCATAATATCGCATGAAGTGTTATTTTCAGTGATTTATCGGTGTTAAGTGAATTTGAATTAGATCATTTGGGACCAAACTGAAATTTCAACCAAAGTACCCATGTTGTGACGTTGTAGAGAGCCCCCTTAAGGACAAATGATACAAACAAAAAATGTATGCCTGCATTGGTATATTTTTTTTTACCTAATTTTATTGTAAATGATGCAAATAATAAATTTCTAGAATATAAAGAAATTGTAAACCTTATGTGATGTTCAAAATCCTACCCTTCTGAAACCGTCCTTTTTATTCTATACACATATTTTTCACTTCAAATTCGATTTTTTTTTTTTTTTTGCAACTTTGAATAAAAAAATTAAAAATTACGTGGTGAAACTTATTCATTTTATTCTTTAAATCAAGACCATAATTGTTATTTTCAATTTTTTGACAAATGTTTGTTTGTGTCATATGTCCTTAAAATGCCTTGAAAATATACATTTTATTCTGAGCTTGATTTTAATTTTAATATGTAATTCTTGTTTGAAATTGCAGACACCTTGAGATAGTAGTTTAATCAGGTTTTATTTTAAAGCATTTATGTGATGTCACATGACTGTGTTGATCACGTGACGGACATTTATGATATTCTTAATTGTTGCACAAAAATCTCTTCGGCACAAGTGCAAAACAAAAATATTATGCAAGGTTTGTTACAAAGATCAATTCATCATGATCTAATTTAGTACATAAAAAGTGCTGGGGGCAGTTTTAATTTTTACTCCTTTAGAAAGCATATTACAACCCTTACCGAAAATATTTCCTTCCTGCAAATATTTGCTGCAAGTCTGCAGCAAACATTGCTGCAAGCTTGCAGCAGACATTGCTGCAAGCTTGCGGCAATGTAGCAAAAGAAAGCATGACAGCCTATACAAAGCCTTGGTGTTTGCAGCAAGTTAGCGGCAAGTCTGCAGCAAGCTTGCTGCAAACATTTTACCATGCAAATGAGGTTTGCTGCAAGTCTGCAGCAAACATTGGATTTTCCAAATATGGAAACCTTGCTGCAAGCTTGCGGCAAACATTGCTGCAAGCCTGCCGCAAACATTGCTGCAAGCTTGCGGCAAACATTGCTGCAAGCCTGCCGCAAACATTGCAGCAAGCTTGCAGCAAACATTGCTGCTAACTAGCAGCAAACAATTTCCTTATGGTTTTGGCACATTCCTTTGTACAAGCAGCAAGTTCACAGAAAGCCTTTGTCCTGACCTAAATCTGTTAAGTTTAGAGAAAATCCACCACATGTTTCTGAAATGATGCAGTTTTATGAAGTTATGATAGGTCCTCTTTACATTCCTAGACAAAGTTTTCATACCTTTTTAAAATTAAAGTGCATGATAGCTTTTTATATGAACATGCAGAACTTTAAGAACTTTACATATAATTTTTAATGAATATTTCCGTGATTACACATTTACTAATTAATTTGATAACATTTAACTGATTTGGGGTCCATTAATACTTTTAGGAAGTATACATATGTGATATCAAAAAGAGGACTGAAATTCATAAGACACAGATTTAGATTTGACCTAGCATTTACACCAGTTACTCAAATTGCTTTTAAGAAACATTCTTTCAAATATCAAAATAAATCAAAATCATTTCTTACCAATTAGATATCTTGGATAGAATGAACACCTACATCCAGAGTTTGGCACTTTTAATCATTCAAAACGATGTATTTTCGCAACAAAATACTGAAATGTGTACAACTTCAATTCTAACATTTCAAAATGGCCAGTTTTGTGTTGACCCAGTACAATCTGCGTTTCACTGGCTGATTTGACTTGTTTACTGTTCTTGCGAACTTCCTGCAAACATTTGAATAATGAAATTTTTCCTGCGAACTTGCTGCAAACATTAAATTGGCGTGTAAGTTTCTTGCAATGTTCCTGCAAACATGTTGGGTTCCTGCGAATTTGCTGCAAGCTTGCAGCAATTGCTGCAATGTTTGCCGCAAAATCGCCAGCTAGTGGCAATCATCTGCGAACAAAAAATTTTCTTCCTGCGAACAATTTTGTTTGCTGCAAGCTTGCAGCAGACTTGCTGCAGGCCTGCAGCAAACATATCAGTTTGGTAAGGGGAGAAATTATACTTATCAACACAGAAGGGGTATTTTTCACTCTTTATCGCGATTTATACAAAATTGGATAGCTACACACAATCCTTCAGCAATATTCAGAGGACATACTTTTCTTGTAGATTCACATACTTTAGAATATCTTCAAATTTTCCTTGTTTACCACTTGTGCCATTCCAATATAAACACAATCTATAAATTGTAACTCTGTCTATGGACATGTAAGGGGGGCGTTTCGTATCTCATAGTTCGCTATCTAGCAAGCGAAAGGAATAAAAATATTTAAATTGAAATCTGAACATCATAACAGCACACTCCAGCTTAAAAAAAATCCTAACACTTGAATTAATCAACATGTCATATAAAAATTATGACACTTTCCCCGTTATGTCAGCTCAAGTAAGCAGCGATTTGACGTATATTCTATTATGACGTCATATCCAGGTAGATCAGAGAAGTTGCAACAGTTTGACATTTTACGTGCTGCCTTATCCTAGCTTCGGTTTCATGAACTCCAGACATGCCAATATATATTAAATGAATTTGCTTGAAGATAAGTTATATTATCGTAAGTTTTATCCATAGAATATACTAGCTACGCCAAGGTTTATCATTTATTTTTTAAAACGTCTATTGCAGAAGCTGCTACCGAGTTGTTGGTATCTTCTAACGAAGGTAATTGTACCTGTACTATCAGTTTTGTCAGGTCTGGTGAGAAACTTGTTTCATACACAATTGTTTTGCATTTCAGTAAATACACTGTATATTTTGAAACGAATTAAAACCAGGAAGTTTGTTTTTAGCTTTTATAGCACATTAAAATTAATAGTCCAATGTTAGATTCATTTATCCAAATAACGAAATATATGTGTAAGAAAGAGGAATCATACGTGCATATATATCTGAGTAACTTTGTGTAAAAAATGATCTTGGTCCCCTCTAAGTAGTACGAATCCTTCGTAAGGAAAGTACTTTGGGTAAACTCAGGTGAACTATTGCAATCCGTTTTCGTTCGCCGTCGTACGTCGGTCATAAAATTTTGAACATTTAAGCTTCTTCTATGGAACCACTGAACCTATTTCAACGAAATTTGGCATACAGTATTTTCATGGTCTGTATCTCTCTGGGGACTGAGGGGTGGAGCCAAAACCACCTAAATTACTGCAATCTCTAAAAATCATCAATCTTGAACATCAAATTGTTGGCATGATTGTAATAAGCAGTACCTCTACCAAATTTGTGAAATTCACAGCCCCTGTGTTAGGGGCTTTGGTATTTAGACTGTGCTATGTAGATCATATAGTGAAAGTGCATTATTTCTTTGAAAATCTTCTGCTCTGCTCCAGGGTATTAAACAAACTAACTACATACATAGTTATGATGTCCACGAGTATCTCCTGAATTATGAATTTCATTGATAATTCATTCATAAATGTTAAATATCTTATTAACTATGAAACGTCCAAACATTAAAATATGTAATAAAGTATATGCATGTATAGGTGTTAAATTTTAATAATTTTAAAACGCTATATTTCTACGGGCTTTTTGTCTGTTTTCTTGATGGAGTTGCAAAATGGAACTCTTGTCCATTCTTAGCTCTGTTCTTTTTTTTTTAAATTATTAGAGAAAACCACACATATATAAATTGTTAAAGTTTAATGGCGATTAATGGCCATGGCAGCACTACAATTTTCAGGAAATTACATTTAATTACTGGTTACAATCGTAACCAAGGTTACCGACCCAAATACCCATTGGGCGATTTTGGCAACCCAAATGGCAAATGGCAAATACATGTAAATGAAAATCATCATGAAATGGGCAAATACATTGGGCGATTTGACAACCCAAATGGCAAATGGCAAATACATGTAAATGAAAATCATCATGAAATAGGCAAATATAGAAATGAATATGAAATAGGCAAATATACAAATGAAGCTGTTAAGCAACCTACTGGCAAATAATACATTGCAAATATTTCATCCAGTCTGACACAAATAAGCAAATTGAAATTTCACACATATTGAAAATAATTATGTACAGTTGTAGCGAGCCCTGGGAACAGATGCTCACTAAATATAACCCTAATTAAGTTCAGCTAAAGATTGCGCCAATGGACACTATGTGTCCACCGCCACAATGGCCGGTAGCTGAACGCTTATGATCCCCCCCCACCCCCTCCTTTTTACAGAAAGGCAAAGCAAATAAATTAACATTGCATACCGAGACAAATGAGTATATATAACAATCACATTAGTTACAGTGTACATCTATTGTGTGTCTATTTTAGTTTGCTTTACATTATTTAGTCAGTGAAATAGAGTGCCATGGCCATTAAAGCCCACCCTTGGCATTATAAAATTATGCAATGCTTTCCTCTAAGTTTCAACAAATATCACATTGCCTTGCTCTGACAGGTGCACCCCATCCTCTTAAAGTAGAGTATGATCAACCAAAGTGAACTCTGGGCAACAAATATATCCCCCTTGATGTGCCAGAAGTTTCATTGCAACAAAGCTATAAACTCGAAACCTGACTTTATTAAGAGCATGGTTGTCCCTAGCTTTACTCCAAATCAATCTAGGTAATACATGTAAAATTGAATCAAAAGAATTTTTTATGCTATAATGCAAAACACATGATGGAATGTCGTTCATCTACCCAGTCAATTTGTGGAAAGTAACAGCAGCCATTAAACAAATCTAAAAAGAGTAAGTCACACTTCCAAGTCCTCCTTTACCACCACAGAAACTCTAATAAAGTAATGTGGTTTACAGACCCCTTGCATGATGTCATAAATTATGCCTAGTGAATGCCCGGCCTGACAGAGTGACACACAAACAAAAATTCAACAAACCTGCAAGAGCCTTACATTCCTTTAGAGTAGCCTTCTTTCTTGACATAAAAATGTTGATCAAATCCTTTAAACTATTCTACTTCTCAACTGGGATTCTTAACATCATTTCAACCGAATATAACTCAAAACCCAAAAAGGTCAAAGGAGTGGAAGGCCACACTGTTTTATCATCGGCTATTGAGGGGACACCTAACTGCTCGCATACCCCCACAAAGAATGACATGAGTTCGTCACATGTATTCCTACCTGCCCTACCAGGAAACAAAAAATCATCAAGTAATGTACAACAAGTTTCTGTCCAGACTGTTGCTTCAATATCCATTCGAAATATGATGAAAATTCCTCAAAAAGACTACAAGACACCACAAAATATTTATTTTAAAACCTAAAAGCTCAAAGATCTGCTGGGTGAACAGGAACTAAATGCAGACTTGAGGTCCATTTTACCCATCAAGGCCCCCTTACCCAACAAACTTAGTAACCTAACCGCATCATCTAATGAGGAGTAATTGCCTGAGGAGAAAGATGGATCAGTAAAGGAATTAACACTCGAGTTTTCCGGTTAAGATAAATGATGAATCAACCTAAATGATCCATCTTTTTTCGGTACTAAACCTACAGGTGAATTAAAGCCTAAGACTGGGAAAGGGTCTTGAATGGAATGGGCCAGTAACTCTTCCAGCATTAGTTTTTAAAACTTTTTTCAGAATTCCAAGCTCATTATCTCTAGCTGACTTTAAATTAAAACAATTAGTAGCTACCCTTTGGATCATTGAAATTTAGAAACCTTCTAAAACCCCTTTAGTAAAATTTTGGAACTCTTCCTATCATAATCAGAGTTTTGTAAATAAGCTGCAAGAACTTCTACTTTAACTGGGGAATAACCTAGGTCCTGCAGATTGTGGTGCACTGGGGAATCATGCTCAAGGCTGGGGTGGTCTTGATGAAGGTCCCTGGTTCCTGTATTATAATGGGTATCTTTGACCTGAAAAATCTCTAGAAGCATATTGATATTTAGACGGGCCTTTTTACATGGATAAGGCCCGATACAGTTCAAACATTTATGTAAATAATGGCACTGCTGTTTTACACAAAACCGATAATTGTTATAGTCATAGCATTTAACACCCACCCCCCTGAATGTTTTGTACCGGACCAATAAACGATGGTACCATGTACAGTAGCTAAAGCTCCTGATCAACTATTCTTCATGAAACACTTGAATTTCTTGCCATTCCATATGAAATTGCTCATTATAAAACTACCACCTTATTCTGACAGCCTACCTGCTAGCCCCTAGACAAACAGTGTGGATGTATTTAAACAAGCCAAAAAAGAAATTCTGTAGAGCGTACTGTGGCATAAACTTAAGAGAAAATCAAAAATGCATAAGTCTACTGCTGTACATTTGTAATTTTAACTGTAGCCCCATTTTGGTTCAATTAATACTTGACCATTAGAGACTGTTAGTGTTTACTTATCAAACATCGGGTCGGATTGGATAGAAGCTGTCCTAAATCAATGTATTCGGCCTAAACATTTTTTGTTTGATTTATTCTGTAGCAATTGGTCCCAAACTACCGCATATACCATCGATCTCATTACCTGTTGTATCAATATGATTGGCAGTCTCTAAATTGACATCAGATTCATTGTTGGAACTAGTTGAAAAAGTAACCACACTTGTCGTAACCATGGTAACAATAATGTCTGTACAGGGTATGTTTTCCTCTGATGAAACTTCTGTAGATTCGGCTGATCCCACTTTTTGGTTTAGGCCCACCCGTACGTGCTGATTTCCGCTTCGCCGACTTGGCAGCGGGTTTAACTCTAGGCATTATTTGAAACTACCAACTTTGGAATAAGAAATACAATATAGAAATAGGTCTTTTAATAAAGTTATTATTATTATTATTTTTAATATTGACTCAGCGTTACGACTTATACACTTTTGTTAATAAAATCATTATTATTATATTTTGCTCAAATATTGACTAAGCGTTACGACTTTTCTGTTTTAAATCACGCATGTGGTTTTTCAAAATCGAAAAACATCAGAAAAAACATGTACATAAAGATGCAAATACACACGAAAATAAAAATTGCTAGAAACATTCTCCTTAAATTTCATGCATAACATGAAATTTTTTAACACAATATAAAATAAATAAACAAATTTTTATCTTGAGATGCAGCATACATGTATGTCTGCTCCCCTTAATTCTCTAACGGAAAAAGGAAGTCCCAAGGATTCGACTAAAATACCAAAAGTTGAAAGAACGGGGAAATACTAATGACCCGATAATCCCGAATATGGGCCTCTCTAATAACGCGATTTAGTTTTAAGCAATTAAAACACCAATGATTAAGATGTTTCTTTTAAATTTGAATAATTTAGGTAGTTACTCCATATTTGTCCATAAATTGGTTAAATCTATATACGAAGTTTCATTAATGTATGACATAGGGTTCTTACAAAACAACGCTTGTCTACGGAATTTTGGGACAACCCTCGTACATAGTTACATGTATGAAGAACAAGAGTGTCTCTTCCAAAATTGTGAAATTCATAGCCCCTGGGTCAGTGGTTCTGGTGTTGTACTTAGGGCGGGGCTCTATAGATTATGTTGTGATAATGCAGTACGTGTAATTCTTTAAAAATGTTCTCCTCTGCTCCTGGGTATTAATCCAGCTAACTTAGTCCAATTATATTGAGCAAGAGTGCCTTTTCCAATATTTTGAATTTCATGGCACCTGGGTCAGCGGTTATGAAGTAAGGGGGGCTCTAATGATTACATAGTGAAAATGCATGAATTCTTTTAAAATCTTCTTATCTGTTCCTCGGTATTAAAACAATAAACTATGTACATAGTTATCATGAGGAAGGACGCCTCTTCCAAAGCTGTGAATTTCATTGCCCCATGGTCAGGGCTTCTGTGTTGGGGGTAGGGGGGGTGGGGGGTGGGGGGGGCTCTGATGATTAAATAGTGAAATCCACTAATTCGTTGAAAATCTTATGCCAGAGATCTAAGTATATATTTATGATGAAGAAAGGTGCATTTAGCAAAATGTTTAATTTCAGGGCCATTGGGTCAGGGTTACCGGAAGGGGGGGGGTAAACCGTCAGAAAATAAATTAATGGTTGAATTTCTGCTCTGTGGTATTAATCAAACATTTATGGTGAAGTAAGATTTATGATAAGATTTCAAAAAAATTCAAATATGTCAGTGGTCCCTGTGGGATGGGGTGCACAACTGGTTAAATAGTTGTAATGCATATTCTCTTTATTACTCTGATCTACCTCTGGATACTAATTGACCTAAGTAAGCATGTGTATAATTATGATAAGCAGTGATGCCTCTTTCAAATTTGAATTTTATGACCTCTGGTTCAAACACAAACCAAATTCAATGGTTGGAAAGATGTTACATGATACTCAGGTGACATATAAGGCCCGCGGGCATCTTGTTTACATTTGTCTAACGTTTACAATCAAGTAAAGAGAAGTGGTGCTTTGTTGTATCCCTGCAAATTTATTTTTTCAGACTTTGAGAAGATTTTCACTCTATATTATTTTGTTTTTGCTGGTCAATTTTTTTTTGTATTCGGGTTAATTTCATTTTCAAAAAATCCCGTTTAAGCACACGTCTTTATGTGTTAAGCGCATCTTCTTATGTTCTCTTTTTAGAATTATTTTTTATATACTTAATTTCAATTATCTTTACTTATAGAGTCCACAAGGAATTTTCTTGATAATGCCAAGTCTGCAGACCGTTTCTACGAAGAGACAAAAGTATTCAAAAAAGTGAAAAATATTTTCATGACAAACAATGCAGTCATACTGATAGGACCTCCAGGATTTGGAAAGACACAAACCGCCATCCACATGATGATGACTTTTAAAGAGGAATGGATAATTCGTAAAGTGGAAAATTACGTTGAACTAAATTACATAGAATGTGCCAAAAGGACCATTGTCTTTATTGATAACATATTTGATGGAAAATCAACTGAGATCGCAGAATGGATGGAGCCTCTTGAGAGACTCAACAAACTTATCAGAAGTATGGATAAGAATGGAACGCAATTAAAAAAGAACGAAGGGGGAGAAACAAAAGAAAACAAAGGAGAAGGAGAAGAAAACGAAGCAGAGGAATTAAATGAAGAAAACAAAGGAGAAACAATAGAGAAGAAAGGACGAAAAATAAACGAAAACAAAGAAGAAACAAAAGAAAACAAAAACGAAGAAACAATAGAAAACACAGCAGGAAAAACAATAGAGAGGAGAGGAGATCCTAACAAAATCAAAGGAGGAGAAACAACAGAAAACAAAGGAGAAAAAAGACAAGAAAACGAAACAGAGGAATTAAATGAAGATGACAAAGGCGGAGAAACAATAGAGAAGAAAGGACAAAAAAAAGAAAAGAAAGGAGAAGCAAAAGAATATAAAGGGGAAGTAGTAAAAAGAGAAAATGGAGAAGTTAAAGTAATTGTTACAGCAAAATCGGGTATCATCGAAGAGGCTTGTGAATTATTTAATAAAAGAACAATTTTTTGGGAGGACTGTATCGTGAATCTCTCAGAGGAAAAATATGAATTGAAAAACAACGAGAAAAAAAGAATTCTTTTAAAACAAATCGAATTTGCAAATCAAAAAAAGGGCATTCGACCCCCCGATTTGTCAGATATATTCTGGGAAAGAGTCACAAAATCTAAAGCACATATCGGATTTCCTTTGTGTGCTCATTTATTTGCATTTGAAGAGGCATTTCGAAAAAAAGGTGAAGATTTCTTTTCATGGCCGACGCAGCTAGTTTTGATACAAATTCAGGATGTTGTTACAAATGACAAAACAAATAGAATTAAAACGTTGCTTCTTTTATTACTTCTTGCTGAAATACACAATAGAAACAAAGATCAGGAATCAAAGTATAAGCCAGATATCAAGAACGAAAAAGACTGTGCCAACTTTGTGAAAAAGACATGTAGACTTGGTGATTATTTTCAGCCTCTAAATTTTAAAAATTTACAAGCTGTGGTATCGGAATTAACTTGGTCTTTCATACGCGAAACTGGAGAAAATTCCTATCAATTCATTCATCAGAGTGTTTTTGATGCAGTGGAGACTTATATTTTTCGATCTTTCCCAATTAAATCTATTGTTCTTCTTCCTCTTGATGTTATACAACAACAAACAAATGACAAAGAGGGGCTTCATTGGTTGAAAGATGAGCATTTTAGATATCTAGCAAAAAAATTTATTACCGAGATTAAATGTGGAAGAAGTTCGCATATCTGTGAATGCGAGATTTTAAAAAGGACAGAGTTTATTAAAATTTTTCATGTTGCAGTCGC